TTTTTTTTTTTTTGCCTAAATGTCCTTACTAGAACCTCCAGTATAATGTTGAGTAGAAGTAGCAAGAGCGGACATTGTATCTTACTCCCGATCTGAAAGGGAAAGCATCTAGTCTTCAACCATTAAATATGATGTTAGCTATGGATTATATATTGCTTTTATCATCAACGATTTTTTGAGAATCAAGTTTTTGTAAGTGGCTACCTTAGGAAAGATAAAATTTACATCATTGTTTCTAGATCATGGTTAAACAAACAAACAAAAAAAAAAACAGCTGGGGGCAGAGCATAATAGGGCTTCTTCTTCCATTCTGTGAAGTGGAGGTTAGCGTGTCTACTTTAAGTTAAGGATGGGCTCAGTTTGGATTCAGAATGGGTGTATGTGAGATTTACCTGGTGTCTTTTTTCTAGAGGATTTCATTCAGTGAGTGTCTTGTGTCTGCTGTGTGCCAGGAACTATTCTAATCATTGAGAGGGCCGCAAGGAATAAGTTGTCCCACATCTGCCTGTGTGACAGCTACATTTTTGTGAATATGCATGTAGGAATTGTGGGGCCCATGTTTTAGGGCAGATTGGATCAGTATCATCATTTCTTGATTTACTAGAATTTTATTTAAATCAGGTACTTGGTTGGCACACTACAAAATGCACAATACCATACCTATGTGAGGCTTAGGAATATATATCACACTTGCTTTTGTTACTCAGAGGAAGAGCTGGTCAATAACCTGTACATACATTATTTTAATGTTTGTTGGCACAAAACTTGTCTGCTCTGTTTAAGAGTCATGTCTGCTAGGAATTTACCCAAGGGATACAGGAGTACTGATGCATAGGGGCACTTGTACCCCAATCTTTATAGCAACACTCTCAACAATAGCCAAATTATGGAAAGAGCCTAAATGTCCATCAACTGATGAATGGATAAAGAAATTGTGGTTTATATACACAATGGAGTACTACGTGGCAATGAGAAAGAATGAAATATGGCCCTTTGTAGCAACGTGGATGGAACTGGAGAGTGTTGTGCTAAGTGAAATAAGCCATACAGAGAAAGACAGATACCATATGGTTTCACTCTTATGTGGATCCTGAGAAACTTAACAGAAACCCATGG